ACCACCCATCCACTGCCTCCCATATCCTTTCCATGACCCTTCACACAATTTTTTTTGCCTCCCACTGCCCTCCCATACGATTTTTCTACTGTTTCAATGTTCTTCTATTGTCGGGGTAGAATGGATAAAAAGGATAGATAAGTAGTAAGTCTGTACTAAATATATATCCTCAAGGTAGTTTTAATAATAATACAGAGCACTCTCTGTAATGAGATTGATACGTAAAAATATTTTCTTATTATGTAAAATATTGAGCGAAAAAAATCCAAAATTTCAGCTACATGTACATAACCCGGAGCATAATGAAATTTGTAAATAATGTGATTGTAAATTTTCAATAAAAGATGCATTAAAAAAGCACGACAATAGGTTTAATTAAAAAGTAAATAAAGAATTTTAATGGCATGTGAGAAATTATTAACAATTACAGTAATTTTGGTACCTAATTTCCTTTTCAGAATACACTATTTTGAACGAAAGATTTAATATCATTGTGTACCCATCAATTTATTAAAATAGTTATGTAAATTTAAAAGTAAAGAAATAAAAAATAAAACTGATTTATAATAATGTATGTTGTAAAAATATCTTAAGTACTATGCTAAATTTTTTTTTTTATTAAGGTAAATAATTATATTTTATTTTCTTCTATTATGAACCGTTTTTATGGTTTACCACAGACCAACCGAAGCTGAATGACAATCATACTTAACTTATGTGAAAGGTATTTATTATATCTTAGATATTATTATCATTACTTATACCATTCATGTTTTTTAATTGAAAAAAAATTTTTTTCATGAAAGACCTTTCGCGCCTCCTACCTGAAAGCCTATGTGAAGGATTATAATGCATTAATAGAAGGTTGATGCGCAAATCGTGCGGGGGGTGGAACCGCACTAGTGTGTATGTATGTATGTATATATATATATATATATATATATATACATAAGATTTATTTTATTTTGTCTAATGAGAGGGGAGGGCTAGTGCCACTAGTTACTTTAACATCGTGTTGTTTGAACTGTGGTAGTAAATTCGCCAATGACGGCCACTTGAACTAATTTCTTTTGTAAGATTCATCATGAGTTTTGGAAGCAAAATGTGAGCAGCATCGATTGTACTCCTGGCCTATCCTTAGAATATTTATAGAATCTTAATAAGTTATACTCATCACACACCTTGCATCTTGGCCATCCTGTACAGAGAAAACCTTGTGCTATTATTTAAAAATAAGTATTCCTACTTATTTTTAACATTTCACTTGTAAGACTTCCAGTCATAGGTATACATATGTATGATTCGTTTTTATGGTACTCTCAGTTCGATTTTTGAAGCGAAGCTTCTTACATAAGGCGCTTGCTTAACGAAAGTAGAAGAAAGCGTCACACTTTTTCTTACCCCCTTCGTTTCTGTTCATTCTCCTGCCACTGTACGCTCTCTTGACAGCGATTGTAGTATGTACAGGCGCGCGACGGCGCTCTTCCTCTCTTTCTGTTTCTTGGTGTCACCTGTACATTCAAAATACTTTGATAATCATTAGTCACCTTAGAAACTTTTAAAGCACCGTATTGTTAATAAATTTTAAATTTATAAAAAGAATAGACTAAGAAAAGACTACTCAAAATATAGTTTTCTCCAAAATTTAGCTCGTTTTTATTTATACATGAGACAAGAAATCAACAAGTGTATCTATATTTATGAGAGAGAGTGTAATATTTAGTATATATTTAGTTAAGCACTAACTAGTTCCAATCTTACGTCCCGAAACATGTCTACGTTGGCCCTAGCTAGACAACATAGTTAGGTCATAACCTTTTAGCTAGATAGCCTAGTTAAAATTTTTTATCAAGAATATGAATAAAATAATAAATGAGCATTAGGAAGTTTTGTATTTTTTTAATAAAGCTATGTTAATAAGCAATTGCCAAAAAATTGTCTAACTTGAAAATTCAGTTTCTTTATAAAAACCTCATAAGAACTTCACTTCCTTCATAGATCCTGCGACCCATTTTTTTTTTATTTTTTTTTTTTTATTGTTTTAAACTCATCAGTTCTCTATTTCGCTTTTGCATGATTAAACTGAAATTTTAATTTCCACAACTTTAATTAAAGGATTTATTAATTTTTTGATCTCGTATTTTAAGCTACCACATTACCATTTTTTTTTTTGCCACCACACTCTACTATTATTTTGTCACCATGTTCCATTACAAGAATGCCCTTAAATGTATAGTTGTCTACTGCTTGGACCCTGCGCCCCTGCAGTCCTGCACAGTATGTGATCGTTTAGTTATCTTTTGTACGGTGAGATTAATTCTTAATTTTGGCACTACCGTTAGCGCGTAAAATCTAAATAACAATTATTTATTTATATATTCTACATGATATTTATGCATCCCAAGCTATGAATCTATACAGTATAAACTATAAAAAGTAACTTAATGTCAATTATTCTATTTGAGGGTACACTTTAAGAGAAAATTATATAACTGCACGAAAAACATAGTTATGGTTCAACACTCACAGTCTGTGTGTGTCCCTTTATGTTTCAAAATTATTTTAGACAGAAGTAATTAATATTTTTTTATTTAAGATAATAATACCGTAAAAAAAATAAATCCCCAATTTTTCAGTTCATCTTCTAGATAGTTCAGTTTTACTTGTTCACTAATGGCATGCCAATTACCTCAAAAGAAGTTCACAAAAAATTTTCTGTCTTAAAAAGCAAAAGATTTTTGAAGTTATACTTTTATAGGTGCGTTTTGCCCTACAGAGTAAATCAATGATTTCAGATTGGTGACCTTCAGAAAAAGTGTAACGGAAGTGGATTTTGCTTGATTTTCCCCCCTTAGCCCCACCTTTCATGACGTACTTCCGGTCCATTGTATACCACACAACTTCATCGCACCACACTACACAACACACTTTGAATTGTACTTTTTTTTTCTTTTAATTAATTTCTAAAAGAAAAAAGAAAAAAAACCCTGACCTCTTCCATTCTAGCCCAAAACCCTTACCCGCTCTGCTGAGAGCGCGCCCGTTGTAACGTTTTCGATTACTTTATAAAATCGTACAGTTTGTATTAATTCATTTGGTTTGGTTAATTATAAATTAAATTTTTGAAAAATTTATTTAATGAAATAATTTTTTAGGTACATATTTATTTCGAAAACTTTGAAAACAGTATATATTATCAGAGCAGCTTTCATTTGTCATAATCAACATTTATTTACTTATCATTTATTTGTTACTTCTCAAGTATATAAATAATGATTTATACAATTTTTCACATTTTTTCAAAACATAAATTATTAAAAAATAAAAAACTTCTGTACTGTATAAATACAATAATTGATTTTTATTGCGTTTTCTTCTTTTACAATTTTTCCTTTATGATTGACGTGATTTTTTTACTTAAGGACGTTTCTCACATAGTTATTGGAGAAAAAGTTCATCTCAAAATTCAGAAAGGTGGAAGGAGTGCAAATTTATGCAGCAACGGTGGAAACTATTTTTCTAATATGGATGTACTTACGTACACGCTTTAACACGTACTTAACCCCTTCTTTTTTGTGTTATTAAGAGAAAAAAAAATTGTACGTCTATTTAAAAATGAAAAAGGTTTATCTAATAGTAATCTTCCCTACAAACAAAAATTTGGAGGTTCGTACAGATCTTATAAATGTAATTTTAAGTGATTTTTCCATAAGGTAACATGTTAAGTTGCGAATTTTTGTAATTAAATATGTGAAAAAGGGTACAGTTAAACGACCTGCTATTTTTAAGGGTGTTTTTTATTTTCTTAGGAAATTATTTTAACAGAACCAGAAGATTTGATGTAAGAGCACAGTCTTGTACTGGTCAGCCTCGATCCCACGATAATTGCACCACCTTCGTACAGAACACTGTTTCATAGAAGGTATTTTTATACTCAGTTGCTTAGCGAGGGGGGGGGGCGGGGTGCGGACCGCCCCGGGCGGCACCACTGAGAGGGAGGCACGTTTTTTATTTTATAATTGGTGAAAAAATATATGTTTACATTATTTAAGTATTCTGTATATTTAATTATATATTCAAGCGTATGCCATAACTGAGAAAAAATACTTTTGAATAAACCGCTAATACAAGAGGTATGAAAGCCTTTAATTGACTTGGGGCTCCCTCTGTTACACTTCTTCTACATACCTATGCTTACTCTGTGCTTACTGGAGTCTGGACTTATTCGTGCTGCGTATTGCACGATCTGTATTGTCTGGTATAGGTTATAGCGAGTATATGCTCTAAGGTGTTGCGTGGATTGAACAAGAACAGAGTTTTATTTATAGTTATAGTGAAACTATTGTTTTATTAAAAGATTCGAGACACTCGGAAAACAATTCAATATTTAAGAAAAGCTGCTGCACTGTGAGAAAAATTATGGACGAACCCTGAGCAGCGGAGCTAAAAAAGTCATGAAAGGAGCGGTATACTTAAGTTTGCGAGAAAATTCAGCCAGCCTCTATTTACGTTTGTTAGTGAATCCGAACTTTCAAGCAATCCTTTCAAATCAGGCATCGTATCAAAATTTCTTTGTTTATATTACAGTTTACGTATTGACGTAAAATTAAACTGAGACTACGATCGAACTTGATTCAACGCGATAATGAGGAATACGGTTTTGAAGAAAGGGAGTAAACGTGCACGAGAAAGCTAAGTGCTGAGTACAAACAAAGCTTATTTCTGATTTACCTGTAAGATTTTATTTGTGTATGTAAAGTACCCTTGTTTTTGTTTACATTTGTATTACTGGCATGTTTATACATAGTCTATTGTTACGTTACGGTAAGTGGATTACAGTTCTTCATTCTACGCAATGGGAACTGTAATATGAATTTTAGCATAGCCTCTTCGTTATAAAATTTGTAAATAAGCTTAAAACGAACAAATAGCTTGATTTGGTGTCGTTTCAATTACTTTCAGATAATCAAGAGGCAAAAAGAATGTGGTGATTCTTATAGGAACCAAAAAAGGCTAGAGAAAAACAATGTATGAAGAATACAGGAGCAATATTTAAATATTTTGAATTCATTGGCAAAAAAAATGTGTCGGCATGTGATACAGAAACTAGTACCATTTCAAGTCAAAAATCTGTTCAGTTATCTAGTAGCGATCGAGTTGATTTTGAAGTTTTGGCTAATAAACCAGTTATAGTTGGTGAAAAACTGGAACCGATGGTAGAAGTTGAAATCCCCGAAGAAATTAATACTGTTGACGGCATAGTTTTAGTTAATTCCACGAAGTCTACGGGTACATCTGAATCTATCAGCGATTGCAATGATATTGGAACTTGGCCTGTCCTGATCCCAGATAATTTTCAAATTTTCGTTGTGACTCGAGGTTATAAAACAGTGCTGCACCTTGACTGCGAATTTGCTGAAGTGATTCGTCCAAAGCCAAGAGATTCTACCAAGGGACCCAAGGGAGTTGTTAAAAAATTAAGCCGCGATTGGTTTTTTAGAATTATGCCGAATGGTGACAAAATTTTAAGAACGTGGATGGCTCATCCTCCTTTTAAAAAAGCATTGTTTTGCTCTTGTTGTCGATTGTTTGGAGTGATTGTGAATGATAAATCTGGGTTTAATACTATTAATGGCTTTAATCAGTGGTGGAAACTAAATTCTAAAGTTTCAGAGCATGAATCGAGCTCTGTACCTATCGAAAATTTTGAAAAATGGCAACGCTTGCAGATGAAACTTAAAGCTGGTGCAACGATCGATAAAACAACACAAAATATGATTGTCAAAGAAAAGCAAAAGTTGAGGCAAGTGCTTGTCAGGATGATGGATATCATCAGATTTCTCGCCAAACAAAATTTGGTTTTGCGAGGACATAGGGAAATTATAGATGAAAATAACACTGGCAATGAAGGCAATTTTTTAGAACTTATCTTTTTGCCAAGTACGACCCAAATCGTTGTGAACACTTGATAAAGGTGAAGTTGCAAAAAAAAGTAAGCATATCTTACCTATCACCTGAAATTCAAAATGAATTCATAAGCTGTTTGGGGAATCATGTTCGAAAAATAATTCTGAGTGAAGTGAAAGAAGCTAAGTATTTCACTATTGTATTTGATAGTACACCAGACTACTCACACAAGGACCAGACTAGCCAAATACTGCGTTATGTGAAACTTGATGGCACTAAAGTGCAAGTGACCGAATCTTTCATCGACTTTCTTGAAACTGACGGTAAAAAAGCTAAGGATATAGCTAAAATGATTTTGGACAAGTTTAAGAGTAATGAACTAGATATTTAAAATTGCCGTGGACAGACATATGATAATGCTTCCACCATGTCAGGAAAACACACTGGTGTACAAATGCGTATCAAGGCAGTTGTTAAAAATGCTCAGTTTGTTGCATGCAGTAATCATTCATTAAACCTGGCGGGTTTAAGCGCAGCATCAGTAGCAGTAGACTCAGTGACGTTCTTTGGTACAATGGAAAAAAATTTTAACTACTTTTCATCGTCTACTCATCGGTGGAAGGTACTTACCGACGTTACGATGGAGTGCTAGGCATGACGCCGTAACGATTATGAAAATCCGTTACAGTGAGATTCTTTAGGTGTTAGAATCACTTTCCCTGAACACAGAGGAAAATGCAAAAACAAGAGAAAATGCTGATCTTCTGTTTCCTGCCCTTCAGTCGTTATTATTTTTGGTGTTTCTTGGACTACGGAGTCGAGTTCTCAGTGAAATAAATTATGCTCAATTATATTTACAAACTAAAGGGCTGAACGTACACCAATGTGCGATAAAATTTCAGGCATTAGAAACATTTCTCATTAATAATCGAGATGTTTTGGTCGACGACGCACTTGATTATGCTAAAAATACATTTGAAGAACTTGGCGTCGAAATAGCTCCTCGTCGAATAAAATGAAAAAGAAGATGCATGGCGAGATCATTGAAGATGTTGGCTTAACCTATATCAATCGGTTAAGGCAAGAAATGTTTGAGTCGGTTGACACTATTATACAAGAAGTAAAAACCAGATTTCAGCAATTACACGAGTTGGATGTCAAGTATTCATTTCTCACACCAACTAACTTACTGAATAAAGAGTAAAAGTGTGCGTTTGAAGAAGAGCCAGATGACATCGATGTCAAAGAGTTTAAAATTGAGAGAGAACGGTTACGTAATTTTGTTACTACAGCTGACCTGAAAGATTAAGACACCATCATGAAAGGACCACTTGAGCTGCTAGAATTCATTCAGGAGTATAGTTATGGTATTTGCGTTCCCAACGTTGTAATTATGTTTCAAATTTTTTTTACTGTAGCAATCAGTGTTCCTGCATGTGAACGTAGCTTCTCAAAGCTGAAGTTAATAAAAGATTATTTGAGGTCTACCATGGGTTCTGCGCGATTAAGTGATTTGGCCATTTTGTCAATCGAACAAAATTTTACCAATGAAACTGATTTTGACCAAGTTATAAATGATTTTGCTGCGCGTAAGGCCCGAAAAGTTAAATTGTAGTCGATCACGTATCATTTTTGTATATTATAGATTTACATCTTTAGACTTAGACTTAGATATGATTTCTATTTTCATTTATGAATCAGAAAATATTACTGTATTATATTTGCCTTTATATAATAATATATTATTCTGGCTGATGTCAAGTTGTGGCTCGATTTTACTTGTGTGATTGTATATATGCTGAAAAGACCGAGATGACCCTGACANCGATAACGATATGGACAAACATTTGGTTCAATAATAATAATGATAATAATAATAATAATAGTAATAATAGAAATAACAATTATAACAATAATAATCAGAATATTTTAATGTCATCACAAGGGCGGCAAAGTATGGTTCCGCCCTGGGCGCCCAAAGTCCACGCTATGCCGCTGTTAATACTCAAAATTATATTGTTTGCCATATTTCTTTATAGAAGTATAACTTTTTACTTTGGTACTCGGCATCCACTGTCCGCTGGTTTTTTTTTCAAAGTTTGGATAATATTTTTTAACCGTCATCACATTTCTTTCGTATGACATTACACATTTCGATACGTATTTAAAAGGTTTCGTGTAATAAAAGAAGTTATAAATCAAATATAATACAGCTCTGATACAGTATAGATTTATTTCTTAATCAATAACGATGGTAGAACACATAATTGCTAATTAGTTGAACACTCAATTGTTGTATCATTATCAAAATAAAACTCTTTTATAAATTTTGAATACAAATTTTTTAAAATACATTCACAGAAGACTATGACACTCATGGGTTTATAACTGAATAGAGTAAGAGATAAATGGAAGTTCCATCTTACATGAAAGGTTGGAAATAAATACTTACTACAGAAAAATGGATTGATTTAATACCTTTAGATAATTAACATGATCGCGCATCGCTCTCTTTACTCGTAAAATAATTAACCTGCAAGCATATTAGTAACTACTACAAGTATTTTGCTGTTTTCTTTGAACTACAGAATCAAAATTGGTTTATCTCGACTTTTATCAAAGTATTTTGACTTTCAAGCTAGAACCCTTATATAAGAGCACTTATGAAATTCATACATTAGTAACTTTTTGGTAAGCACTGAATATACTATAATCAAATAATGTCAAACGATTATAAATGATCACTTACTGTAATTGTATTGCTAATTGTCACTTTTTTTACTGTACATTTCTTTCAATGTTTGTTTCTAAATTACAAGTATTTTAAATCATTATTTAAAACATACGTATTTTTATGTTTTTTCCAATATTTTTTATTCCTCCGTAACTCATTTGGATTTGTTCTTACAGCTAGCTAAACGACAATTAAAAGATGCCTTTACAAGAGCTCAGTTAGGCAACTGGGTGAAAAAGCCAATGGAACAAGACATGTTTGAAGTAGAAATTTGAGTGAATAGAAAAATATTATTGGTACATAGTTGTGAAGTAAGCTTTAATACACTTAACTAAATGGTATCATTAATGCATCATATTATTGGAATTGTAATTTATTACTCAGCATTACTAATATAATTAATATGTACAATAGAAAAATTCATTTGTATAGTTTTTATAACCCTATGTAATGCATTGTTAAATATACATCATCAAACTATTATAAATTTTTACAAGTTATTGAAAATTCATGTTAATTATCCACAAAATTCAAAATGATACTTTTGTTCTTTCTTACGGTTATATTAGTTATTATCAGTTTTGTGTACCATTTTTTTTTTACTTATATAAATTTTTAATGTAAGTACAGCGATACAATCTAAATTGTTTGCTTCAAAATTAATTCATAAATAAAATATGCGAGTGGAATCATCCAAATAGGTACAATAGACAAAAAATTATTCTTTAGAAATTTTTTTATTATTGTTAACCATACGATACATTTTGACATAGAAACACTAATTAATAATATCTTAAATGAAATTAACCGCTACCAATTTTTTAAAGAATATTTAACACACTTTATGACTTTTTGCATCCGTTATTATGATTAGTACTGTTGATTTCAAGATTGTTTTGCCATTATAATTTATTTTAATTTTTCCTTGAGTTACGTTTGTTTTTTTTGTTTTTTTTTTTGTTTTTTTTCTCAACGATCTCATAGCTAGCAATTGTGGTACTACGTAGTAGTTATATGTATTATTGCCTTATTGCCTTTTTTTCTAGAACTTTACAACTTACCTACCTCTTTGATTTGTTACAGTGTCTCTCCCTCACGTAGTTTTAAACGATTGTACAACGTAACAGTGTGTGAATCTGCTTGACGCTTCTTAATTTATGGGTCTAATTGTCTTGAAAGTTTTAGGGCTCTTACAAATTCTACCGAAGGTTGATGAGATGGCTACTGACTTATGTTCACTTTTCTTCTGATGTATAAGAGTAATCTTTATCTAGTCTTATACGTAATCATAAAAAAGTTCTTATTGGTTGGAAAAATTTGTTTTAAAAAACTAGTAAAAATCTTTAATAAAACAGCTGAAATTTTTAACAATATAGTAAACTTCTCGTTATAAATTAAAATACCGTTACAACATACGATTTTCAAAATCGATCGCGAAGCTCACCAAGCTGCAAATAGGAGGTGACTCAAAAGGATGTCCAACTCAAAAGATTATTAGTATTGAAAAAAAAAAATTCTTTCAAACGCACAAAAATGATATGCTCCTCGAACAGCAAGAAACATAATCGAAAAATTTGTAAAAAAGCTTTTTGAGCCACAAGCTCATAGCGTTAGACATAATTAACCGGGAAAAGACATTACACATATGTACTAAGTTTAAGCATAAATAGTTAAAGTTAATTATCAAAATGGCAGTAAGCCTAAATACTTCGTCAAAGTTCTGAACCAAACCTAATTAACTTGACAACTGATTTATGTACCCACCGTACTACTTAATTTTGTAACATCCTCAATACTCTCTGTAGATTAATTATTATTTGTGCATTAAGACGTGATGGAGTGCAACAATGAACTTGCTTGGTGGCAATTGTGAATTTCTTGATTTTTATATTTAGGCTTAACTTGCTAACTTTCGGTGGTTGGAGCGTCACAGCTATACCCTATCCTCAAGTTTATACTGTTCTTACCAACCTGAAACGATGTGTATCAGTAAAAAATATAAAAGCCTCAAACCGTTCCTCTAGGTAACTGGGTGTGTTAAATCTTGAAATCTCTAACCACGCAGATTATGAATGACAGCGAGACCATGGAGTTTACCCTAACACCAAAAAAGTTTAAAAAAAACATTTTAAAACTAAGTGAGTAAAAAGACAAGAGTCATAGCTCAAAGGTCCTAAAACATTGAGTTAATGATCTAGCGCTCATAAATTTAACATGTGTTGAGTAACAGACATCCGAAATTCTTGATAAATTTTCTCATTAAAGCCAGTCATTAGAGAACGATGACAATCGCTTGACATATCTGTGTCGTCTTGAGAAAGAGCTACCAAAGATATCTTCCAATGCATATGCTTACCGTGATTTCAATGTTGGTCTTTTTGGTTTTCTTATCAAAAGAAAATCTTAAAAAGTTAGTGCCTTGTCTTGACAAAGCAGGTATGCTATAAGTAAATTGATATGCAAGAAATATGATGTGTACCAAATCTTCTTAAAGTCTGCCTACACAATAAAGGTTATACTTAAATCTCGCTGTGAAAAGTATTAACTGTTAAAGAGATCCTGTCTAAAAATTGTAAAATTTTCATTCCTTTTTACCACCTTTTCAGGAAAAGCATAATTAGAGGCGTAGATTTAGAAGTTCAAGAATTGAAATCTTG